GCGGCCTGTAGGGGGCCCCCTCGAGGCCGCGGCGGGCGCTCGCTGGCTGCTGTGCGGCGAGGGAGGCCGCCGAGGGCACTGAGGGGACCAGCTGGGATTCTTGGGGGGGGGGCACTTTTTTCTCGTCTCTGTTTTCTTCTTTGCGTCTTTTTCCTTGTTGTTTTCTTTCTAAATGTCTTTTGTGTTTTTTTTTTCTCTTTTTTGATCCTCTTCGGCCACTTCCTTCATCTCATCATCTACCTTTCCTCTTCCCTGTTTCCATCAGAATATTCCTCCTTCCCCACCTATATCCCTTTCCTCTTTCCCTTTCCTCCAGGCCCGTGTCCAACGCGATAAATGTATAAAAGGTATGAATGAGAATTCACGTATTTCTGACGGAGATGTAATCGACACCAGTCAAATACATGTCTTGCTCTGTGAAGATATTCCTTTTCATTCATACTTTTTATATTTTACTCCTATTCACCATACCCATTTCTCCTTTTCTGTTTCTCGTTCACCTTTCTTTGATCCTCTCCCTTTTTCCTCCCCTCCCCCCTTTTATCTTTCGCCTTCCCCTTTTCCTCTTCCCCTACCTCTTCCTCTTCCTCTTCCCCAATTTTTCATACTTCATCCTCGAGTTCTCTTATCCATTTACCCTTTTTCCCATATCACAGTCCCCTCCCCCTCTTCACCGTTTTCCTCTCCCCCTCCCCATTATCACCGTTCTTCCTTTTCCCACTCTTTCCCATTTTCCCCTCATCAGTCTTCTCCGAATTCCCTTCCTCCTTTCCCTTTGCTTTTCTTTGTCGCCTTCCTCATCACCTTCCCTCCTTTTCGTTCCCCCTTTCCCCTCCCCCCTTCACCCTTCCCCCTTCACCCTTCACCCTTCACCTTTCTCCCTTTCCCCCCATTTCCTCCCTCCTCCCTCCTTTCCCCCTTTTGGCCCGACGTCACATGGGGTGATAAGGAGCAGGAGGCGGCCAATAGAGCGTGGCGATATCGGCCCGAGAGGAAAACCATAACAAAAGCTCATCATGGGGACGTTTGGTCGGGCGTTTTGGCAGGCACTGGGCCAAGGGAGGGGTAGGGGGTAGGGGCGAGTGGGTAGGGGGTAGGGGGTAGGGGGCAGGGCGAGTGGGTAGGGGTAGGGGCGAGTGGGTAAGGGGTAAGGGGTAAGGGGAAGGGGTGAGTGTGTTGGGGTTAAGGGTGTGTGAGTAGGGGGTGAGGCAGGCGAGAATAAGGGGAAGGAATGTGAGGAGGGGAGTTAGGGGGAGAAGGAAATGAAGATAGAGAGGCAAGAGAACGAAAGAAGAGAGGGAGATTTGTTAAAACAAGGAGGAGAAGAAAAAAAAAAAAACAAGAAGAAAAAAAGTCACAAAATCAAGAACAAGCGAAACATGAGCAGTGGTAATACTGATATTAGGAAGAATGGAAAGAAGGAGAAGAAAGTACAAAGATGAAAAAAAAGGAATAAGAGAAAAGTGAAGAAAAATTATGTAAACAGGAGATGAAGTAGGCGGCCCCTGCAGGCTCCCGCGATTGTTTGTCCTGCGTTTAGTAATTTGATAAGAGGATGGAAGGAATGACGCGGTGGGGGGGGGCGAGGAGGGGGGACTGCAGGGGGAGTTGTGGCGGTGGGGGTTGAAGAGGAGGGAGGGGGGAAGGGGGGCGGCCGCTTTACCCGGAGTACTTCATTCACCTACATGTGTACTTGAGTTTTAAGGGAGTGTAGGTAGAGAGGGGGGGGGAGAGATAGAGAGGGAGGGAGGAGGAGGTTGTGTGAGTGTGTGGGCGTGGGTGTGTTGGTGTAGGTACGTGCGTGTGGATATGTGTATGTATGTGTTTTCCTGTGTGGTTGTGTATGGAAGTATACGCGCATGCATATCTAGATATATACACGTCTGCGTTCACGTTCTTGTGTGCTGGCATATGTATGTACGTATTTGTGTGTATTTGCATTATGTCTACGTGGGTGGGCGTGATTGCGTGTGTCTGACTCTATGCACACGGCTGTAGCCAAGGATACGGTGCCCGGTCGAGCAGTTGTTCCCCGTCGAGAGTGCAAGCGAACGGCGAGGGGGGGAGGTTGCGTGAGAGGGCAGAAAGGGGCTGCGTCTGCTGGCGGTTTTACTGATTTTCGCGACGTAGGCTGCAACGGCAAGGGTAACAGGCATGGTGGGAGGTGGAGAGGGGGGGAGGGGAGGGGAGGGGGAGAGGGAGGGATGGAGGGAGAAAGAGAGGGAGGTATGGATGGGGGGAGAGAAGGAAGGAGGAAGAGAGGGAGAGAGAGAAGGAGGGAGGTAGGGAGGGAGAGAGAATGAGGGAGGGAGGGAGGGAGAAGGAGGGAGGGAGGGAGGGAGAGAGAGAGGAGGGAGGGAGGAGGGGAGAGGGAGAAGGAGGGAGGAGGGGAGAGAGAGAAGGAGGGAGGAGGGGAGAGAGAGAAGGAGGGAGGAGGGGAGAGGGAGAAGGAGGGAGGAGAGAGAGAGGCCAGTCCCTTCCCTTCCCTTCCCTTCCCTTC